TAATAACTGCACTGGACGATTTAATTTTTCTTGTGGGCATTCCTGAATTATGGATATACATTTAAGGCTCTTTCAAGTGGCACCTTAAAATAACACTTACTTTCAATGGTAGATGGTAGCTGAAAAACAAATAATGCAATTCAATATAATGCCTGTGTTTTTATAAACCTAAGCAGATAAATATGGGACTGCTGATCCAACAAGTTTGCAACTGTTTTTGTTGTATGAAACAAAAACAAAGGGAATTCCGTTTATTCCCAATATTGCGCAATATAGACTTGGTTCTGGTAATGGCTCCAATTTTAGATAAAAATGTAAATTGCTTTAGGTTCCAAATTAAATTTACAAACTTGATTTTTGTCAATCTATTGTTCCTACGTATTTATTGTTGCTCAATAATTATGTTATAGTTTTTTTTATGTCATTTTCGCTATTATTTTCTTTTAACAATAATGTCTGGCTTTGGCTTTATTGCACTTGTAGGTAAACAGGGTAGTGGTTTGTGGTATTATAATTTATTATTGCTGAGTCAAGGTTTATGTTTGTACTGTTAAAATTCTGTTTTATAAAAATATGGTCCAAGCAGGAACTTGTGTCATGTGGTGTGACTTTGGTAAAAGTGCTGACATATAATTTAAAGCCTTAAGAACTTTCTAGTTTCTCCCAAAATCATTAATGTCATTATTTTGTAGGTTGCACGATTGTATAACATTAAAATTTTGTCAAACTGTATGTTAAAGTCCTACATACATTAAAATTTAAAATTTCTAGAATTCTCTTATTTCATATAACCTGGGATTTAAACTCATTTAGTTCAATAAGATTTTGCTCTTCAGTGTTATTTTCCCTTCCTAATAAATTTAAGGCATCAGCAATATTCATTGAAATAAAAAAGAAGGTATTTGAAAAGCAGTAACCGGAGAGAAAAAACATCACTAATAAAACATGAATAAATGAGTGAAACCTATTACATTATAATAAGACAGAGGTGTGAGATAACACAGTTCAAGACAACACTCAACCTCAAAGTGTTATTAGTGATATTGTTTCTTTCTTTACATAACAATCTCTTTCACTAATGGTATTTCAAGATAGATTAGTTGGATAGTTACAAGAATTGGTGATAATTTTAAATACATAGTAACTAGGTATACAATTATAAATATTGTTTTTTTCTTTAGAAATCAGAAGTTTGAATGAATAAAATCCCATTCTCAGCAGAATTCTCGCATATGGAAGCATAAAAGCTAAAACTTGCCTTCAATTCATTAATATGTGAAAATATAAACTGGAAATTGTCGGTAACACACTAATTATGTAGATATCCAACTGCAACAGCTTACTCAAAACAATAATGAAAAGGAAAGGCAATCTATTATAAATAATCTGTAGTTTTTACCTTTTGAAAATCATCAGCTGGACAGGCAGAAAGTGAGGATTGTTGGTTTTGGGATTTTAACGAGTTGACGTTATTGGCGGATTCACAACAGCAACGCAACCCGGTTCGAAATATTGTTCTTTCTGTTTCTTTCACCGGCTGACAGAAAAAGACGAAAATACACATTTAAATCCGTCAAATCAGAAACGACTTGTAGTTTGAGCTAAGGGTGCGTTCGATAACGGCTATGTTCCGATATCAACTGCCAGTACTAAATTTACTGAGCTGCTTTCGGGAGCCACCCTTTGAGCGCTCCCGAGTTACTCGGAAGTACTCTGGTTACAGTTTGACCCGTTCGGTTTCAAACCTTCGAGTGTAAAACGCATGGAGTATGACAGGTGTGGAGTATTCTAGGAGCTTCGCACTCTGCACCCGAAAGCGGCTCTGGACGCTGTTCCGAAGTGTGTGGTAGAAAACCGTAGTGTTTTTTTAACACACACTTCGGTTTTGGAACGACGTGTTTCATCGCGGCGATGAAAACCGACGAGAAAGAACGTAGTGTATGGGGCCCTTAAAGGGCCCCACACACTACGATGAAACACGACGGTTTTCATCGTCGCGATGAAACACGTCGTTCCAAAACTGAAGGGTGTGGTAGAAAAACACGACGGTTTTGTACCACACACTTCGGAACGGCGTCCAGAGCCGCTTTCGGGTGCAGAGTGCGAAGCGGTTTTGGAACGACGTGTTTCATCGCGGCGATGAAAACCGTCGTGTTTCATCGTAGTGTGTGGGGTCCTTTAAGGGCCCCATACACTACGTTTTTTCTCGTTGGTTTTCATCGCCACGATGAAACATGTCGTTCCAAAACCGAAGTGTGTGATAGAAAAACACGACGGTTTTCTACCACACACTTCGGTTTTGGAACGACGTGTTTCATCGTGGCAATGAAAACCGACGAGAAAGAACGTAGTGTATGGGGCCCTTTACTGGGGTATAAAAATCACAGGTACTGAACCGACAGTCTGAGCGTAGATATAAATTCTACAAAAAGGTGCATACGAAATTCAGCTGCCGGATTCTATTTTCCGAGTCGAGTCAAAATTCGTATCGAATTGTCAAAATAGCGATTCTATTTTTCGATTTCTCGATACGCTTGCGCGAAATTCGCTCTTTTTTTGACATTGCTTCGAAAATTTGACGTTTTATGCGCGTATCAAACGTCAAATTGTCGAAGCAATGTCAAAAAATAGCGAATTCCGCGCAAGTGAGAGCTATGCCTCATTCTCACTTGCGCGAAATTCGCTGTAATTTCGGATCTCTTTGCGGATTTTTTTCTATTGGTCGATTTTATTTAAAATTGACAGGTTTAAATATATTCGACCTATAGAAAAAAATCCGCAATTCGCGGTTATGAGTACTAGGCACGGTACGTCCGGAGTTGTCGTATTCGATATCGAGTGTCATAACAGCTGACAATTCGATACGACTCGTAAAATAAAATCCGGCAACTATTTCATACTAGAAACAAAGTTACCGACCGTATTTTACATGACCGGGGTTCAAGGCATGTCTGGATCCTGAAGCCCTATTCTCGAAACAGAGTGACGAGACAGCGTTGTCTCGAGAATGAAAGAGCGCTGTCTTTTTAGGTCACATTTAAATTTAAAAGCCGTTGTTTTCATTCAAGGATGATACACTTTACACTCTACTACTACAGGATTCTATCCTCATAAGGCCTGTGTGAAACAAATCCTCCCCTTCCCCCCCCCCCAGGCCATGACAAATCACCAGTTGTGACGTAGGCAGCATGTTATTTCTCGTCAAGGTTGTTTGAGAGAGGTAGGTTGGTTGCCTGATAACTTTATGACGTCATCTGGGGTGCCTCACACGCTACGCTAATACGGTACCGCTAACAATACGGTATTTCACATGGTATTTTAGAGTTCTCGGACACGAAGACACATAAATCCTCTAATCCGTTATTCTGTTTACATTTTGACAGCTGATTTGAGTGATCCAACCCAACTTTTTTTTGCTTGTTTTCTAACTTTTATTTATCCTGAAGATTCCTGAGTGTGATTAATGTTCCCTTGGTGTTTTTTATGGAGGAATTATTAGAAGTTGCTGTTTTTGCAGACATAAATTTAGCGTAAACTAGTTTTGACATTGCATAGCGTTACGGTAAGGCATCCGCTAAGTTCCGTTAGATAGCGCGCTCCGTTAACGCTAATACCGTAAGAACTGTCATACTTGTCAAATAGCGTTACGGTATTTGAAATTTGGACGGCACGAGAACTCTCCACAATCTCCATAAGGCACCGCAGACGCGTCATCAGGTTACCTAATAGTTGTAGTCCTTTCAAGAGTTTGAAACACTCGAGCTACTCGCTGCGGTGTTCAGTCGCCCCCGATTTGCAGGGAACAGATGCGTGGTGCAACAAACACTTTTCGAAAGGAATAGGGGCGTGAAGCCCCGGAGCTGTTCCGGAGCTCTTCCTAGGTGTGAAAGGAATACAACTATTACCAGGCAACCTATGAACTTTGGGAACCTTGATTTCTCGCCTTGACATAGGCTGTTTAAACAGCTGACGACTTAGTTATGACGTCGGAAATGATGACACACCAATATGGCGGCGATAACCAAAAACGAGGCCGATAAGCAATCCTGTAGGTGTGTATCATCACTATCATCCTTGGTTTTCATTGGGGTCAAGAATTGCTAGGATTTGATTTAAGCTAGCGGACATGCCAGAATGCTGCGAATTCACAAATTTACTTGGCCATAGATCTTCTTACACCGACTGTACCAATAGTAGGTGAATGCGTGAATGGAAAACACTAGTGATGGGTGGTTCAAGTAGAACTTTTTAACATTTTCGACTTTACTTCTCCCAGAGCGCTCACCGTCTGTGCGATGACGTCACAGATATCTGCAGGAGTACTCCGAGAGCGATTATAGTCTAAACGAGGACACACAATTTGAAATCAATAGCCGAACTCCGAACGTACTTTTAAATGTTTTGATCAAACTTCGATCCATCGAATTTGACGGAGCAAGGAATAGCGCACCGTGTGAGATTTGAGAGCGTTCCATTGCTCAAGTCGAATACGTAAATCTCGCCGAGAACAACACTCCGTTTCAAGCCGAACATGACGCGAATCCGTTTCGGATCGCTTTTTGATCAATCGGTTGCATTTTGAGGCAAAAGTCGAAAGCGCTATTGATGTTTTAAAAATTTCTACTTTTGTCCGCTGGATCCACATCCACTTCATGATATGGAAATTTATTTAAGTATTCTCTTCCTACTTTAATACCCGAACGCAAATAATCTTGCTCCGCTTACTCCAAGCGCTGAGTGGAGCATAAAAACTAAAAAGTAATGGGATCAGTTCTGCCAAATTCTAATATTCGAGTCAATTCGATCACCGTTACCCATGCGATTTTTCCGCTATGTCGAAGTTTGAGTGACAATTTTGAATCTACACTCGGAAAAAATTTGCGTGTAAAATGGAAACAAAAAAGTGCAAATACTTAGGACACTTGGTGCACTTGCCCTGGGGTGAATTTAAAGCCTATCGTAATCGCTTCGGCAAGGGATTTGGAGTTGGTTGGTACATGCGCAGGCGTACAAATCTGTTTCCTGCCATCTGTCACCGTTCCTTTCCCTTTCCATCAAAATTATTCCCATTCTCCTCAGTCGCCATATCTAAGGCGAGACGTACTAGTGTTTTCCCGCAAGTTTTCGTCGGTTTCGACGACCGGGGAGTTTCCTGCTCCCTTTTCGACTTTTCTTGTCCGACTTTTTCCCAGAACCATCCGACTATTGGAAATAATAATACATTTAAGGATTTTCCCTTGGTATCTAGTAAACATGGCATTTTAAAAGATGTCAGCCTTTACGTCAAGCAACGCTGCCACTCCTTTTGGAGGAGCACAGGGCTTCCAAATAATCCCAGCTTTAGCTTTTAAGACTGGAGGAGATGGAGAAGAAAAAGAACCGGAATATGCCAAATTCATCCAGGAGTTCCTTTGGGAATGAATCCAAGAAAGTCCAAGGTAATTGGTACACATTTTCTTTGTTGAGTCAGCAATATTTTATTTTGTAATCCAAAATTCAAGGTGAAATTAAAATTTACTGCGCATATTCACAGTTGTTATCAATCACAAGTACATTACAGTGCTTTCTTGAATATTTTGAATTACAGAGGTGAACTCAGCTGACCTCATGGTGACAAAAATGAATAAATTCAAAATGGTTTAACTAACAGCAGTTTGAAACTAGAAAATACCTCTATAATTATACAATATGAATACCTAGGTATATCAATTAAAATAACTACAGTAAAGCTGGATTCATAGTTCTGTAAGCATAACGGTATCGGTATCCGTATCCATAAGGATTAGCCATAAGAACATAAGAAATCAAATTCAATTCATAGTTAAACGCAACGTAAACGTAACCCCCGTACGGGTGAGAATCAGCTGAGGGCGGACTGTCCCTAGGATAATAAACGAATGTGAGCCGAGTCCGCCCGATTCTGTAGCGGTAACATAAGAAATGGAATTGGACCATTTCCTTACGGCTACGTTATGCTTACGGTTACTGCTTATGTCTTACGTTGGACTGCGAATGGTAGTACTGTTTAGCATTACTTCATTTCCCTTACGGCTAATTCTTAAGGATACGGATACTGATACTGTTATGCTTACGGAACTATTAATTCAGCTTTACAGTACAAGCTTGGTAACGTAAACACAAAAAGTACAGACTCTTCACATTTACATTAATGAAAGTCTCTTTTTTTCTGTCTAAACTAAACAAAAATGTAAACATAATTATGATTATTATTTATCAGAAAGTTTGAACAAAAGTAAACTAAACGCTAACTATAGGTCTGTTCTCACAGAAATCACAAAACAAGTCAGAGTGAATTTCATTGGTTTAAAATTTATTTATTTATTTTTAAAATAGTCAGAAAACTGGTTGTTAGCGATTTGCACCAATCAGAAACGCTCTGACTGGTTTGTGATTTTTGGTGAAAATATCTTCAATATCAAATAAATTCTTTGTGCCCACTACAAAGATGGGAAGTGGGGTATTTTTGTTTAGTTGTTTTCCCACGGAACTGTATGAAATATCCTGTGAGTACTTTCCAAATCTAATAGATCATTAAGTGAAAAGGAAAAGTTGCTCCGCCACTATCACGTGATTGCTGGAAAATTCTCGTTCAGACACGCTAAAAAACAGCAACCCAATCAAATTAAACTTTCAATTCGCCATAGTAATCCATTTGAAAAATATTGACCAATTGTTCATATTATCGAGCGGCTTGCTGTCAGAGCTGGGCAAAGCCCTCAGTAAAAGGGCTTGAAGCACTAAGCCCTCTATCAAAGTGCTTCAATTTCAAGCACGAATTCCTTTTTATTTTCAAAAGTGCTTCACAAGCACAAAGCCCTCAAAGTGCTTTGGGCTTGACAAGCACAAAGCCCTCAAAGTGATTTGAAAAGTGCTTGAAGCACATCAAAAGTGCTTGGGATGCCTTGAAAAGGGCTTCAAGCTCTTTAAATGTGCTTCAAGCTCTTTAAATGTGCTTCAAGCTCTTTGAATGTGCTTAAAGCTCTTTATATGTGCCTAAAGCACTTTGAATTTGTTCTGGGGTACTTGGGGTAGTTGGGGTACTACATGGTAATTCAATTTTAAGGTTTCCAAAATGTTCAATGAGGAAAAGTGAAAAAAATCCACTGATAAAGTTAAATAGGATACCAATATAAATTAATTATTTATTTGAATAATAAGTTCATTCATTTTTTTTTTTAAATTCCATTCTAAGCTCAAACCCAAAACCTCCATTGTTAAGAGAGAAAAGACATTAGACGGTTCAAGTTCAAATAATAGAAAAAAAAATTAAAGGACAAAATACGATCGAAAATTTTTAAATTCCTTTTAAAGTGCTTCAAGCCCTTTTAAAGTGCTTCAACCCCTTTCAAAGTGCTTCAAGCCCTCTCAAAGTGTTTCAAGCTCCCAAAAGTGCTTCAAGCCCTCTTAAAGTGCTTCAAGCCCTTTCAAAGGGCTTCAAGCTCCCAAAAGTGCTTCAAGCCCTCTAAAAGTAATTGAAGCTCATTGAAAGGGGTTGAATTACTTTTTTCAATTACAAATTACCAAGCACTTTTCTGAAGTAATTGACTTTGCAAGCCCCAATTACAAATCTATAAAAGGGCTTGAAGCACAGGGCTTTCAAGTCCTCAAAGTGCTTCAAGCACTTTCGCAAGCACAAAGCACTCAAGCCCTGCCCAGCTCTGCTTGCTGTTCACGTTATAAAGTACCCAATATGCAAAGTATTGTGTTCACAAAACTGCGTTGTTCACTTATACGAGTGTTCATATTATACAGCGTGTACTGTATTTGAAATAAAAAAGGAGACAATTATTAGCTATTTTTGGGTTCGAAACAATCGCACAGTTCATCAATCAAAAGATGTTAGGTTTTATAAAAGAAAGAGTAAGTTAATGCACACATGTTTAAGAATGCTCCGAATAAAGTCGTTAAAATAGTGGTAAAAAGTTTGAATAAAATCGTGATTTTCAGTAGACTTAGAAAATGGAAAATGCATTTTCTAGCGATGAAATTAATTTTATCAAGTGTGGTGTAATTTGTGGTGAAAGTAGATAATAGTTCAACACAAACAATAAAAAGGTGATGAATAAATAGACAAAAAACCCAGGATCATAAACTGATAAAGATCGGCAAATCGGACTTGTACCTTTTTTGGTGCTGATAAAAAACTTGTTTATTGAGTGCTAAAAAGATGCAGTTTAAAGGATATTGAAATACCGTCAAATAACCCAGAGACGGACTCTGATCATGGGGAATATTATGAAGAGGATTGTCCAAGCTGTAAAAAGCCTGTAAGTGATTCTTCTTATATATGTGACATCTGTCTATCTAAAGTTCACAAGAAATGTGCTAGCTTATCACCATCTGAAGTAAAATGCATGCCATTGCAGAATAGGCGCTTAGCTCTGATATGCTGCTCTTGTAAGAAGGATTTAAGCAAATCCAAAGAGCTTCATGAATTGGTTTCGCTACTGAGAAACGAAATACTTGAGCTAAAAACTGAAATAAATAGCTTAAAAGGCACAAAAAATACAAATTAGACAACACTATGCACCGCACAAACAACCTACGCAGATGCAACATCCAGTAGGAAGAACAATAGAGAAAAATTCACTCAAAACATACCCAGTGTTATCATAAAACCAAGAAAACAACAAAACAGTGAAACAACTAGAGAGGATGTGAAAACACATATTAACCCATCTAAACTTTACATTAGTGTTAAAAAAATGCAAACAAGCAGAAATGGAAGCATACTGATAAAATGTAATGATGTTACTGATACACAAAAGTTTAAAAAATATGCAGAGGAAACACTTAAAGACAACTATGAAATAGAAGAAACCAAATTAAAAAATCCGCAAGTGAAAATTGTAGGGTTTAAGGAAGACATGGCCATGGATGAAATTGAACAATCAATTAAAAATCAAAACAGTTTTTATTGTAATGAACTACTTAAAATAACATACATAAGGAAAAACAAAAATAATACAAAAACAGTATATGCTGAATGTGATGCAGTTATGTTCGCCAAACTCATGTCACTAGGAAAAGTTAACATTGGATGGGAGCGTTATCAAGTTTATGAAAACATAAATCCTCCTCAGTGTTATAATTGTTGGGGATTTTATCATAAAAACACCAACTGTGAGAACAAATCAATTTGTTCTTACTGTGGAATGGAGCACCCACGTCGAGAGTGTCAACTAGTCCAAACTCAGCAAGGAAAGAAATGCAAAAACTGCGAAGTGGCAAATTTGAGATACAAAACTGAATATGACTTGAGTCATGAGGCTAGCGACACTGATTGCCCCACCTATAAATATCACATTCAAGTTATGCGAAACAAAATAAACTATGGACAACCTTTACAATGCCATGTCTAGTCAAATGGAACTTTTGAACGAGATAATCCCTGATATTTCTGGTGAGACTGTCAGTGCTGTGGGCCTATGTGACAAAATTGAAATTAATAAAAAATCTCAACATTTTCCATATTAACATACGTAGTGTAAGAGAAAACTTTAACAGTTTGGTATCTTTTCTAGAGTCCTTTAAATTTTATTTCTGTGATGAATGCTTTTGGCTTGATTCATTTTCAGAATTTTCGCTGCAAGGTTTTACAGCATACTATAACCATGGTTCAATTAATAAAAATGACGGTGTGTTAACTATGGTAAGAACTAGCTTGAACAGCGTTGTAACAACATACACATTAAAATCTACAAAAATTAATGTAAGTAAAATTAGTTTAGATATTGGCAATATTAGCTACGGAATATCAGCTGTTTATAGATCGCCAGCAACCTCAAAAAACGACTTCATTGCTGACCTTGATTTATATCTTGAAAGCAATTTAACAAAAAATATTGAAATTGTGGTGGGAGATCTTAACTTTGATTTGTTGAACGGTTCCGATCGTGATGTAGCAACTTACTACACCATTCTAGTTTCCTATGGACTACAGCCATATATCAATAGTGTCACAAGAGAACAATCAAAAACTTGCCTAGATCATATTTTCGTCAAAACTAACCTTAATATAGAAAGTATGTCTTTTTCTTCATATTGTGGTATCTCATGATATTACGGATCACTATCCAACAGTATTAAATATATCAAATCATAACAATAATAACCTGCCTTCAAAAGCTACTAAAAAAATCATTGCAGTCAACAAAAATAAGCTTCATGATCTTTTGAAGAGTGAATGTTGGAATGAAATTTTAAACACAAATGAACCCGAATTAGCTTATCAAAAATTTTTGGATAAATTTCAAAATTACTATTCTCTCTGCAAAACAGTCAAAATTCAAAAAATGTTTAGAAAAATAAAGCCATGGATAACTCAAGGTTTAATTGTATCAATTAGAAAGAGGGATAGGTTGAAAAAACAATTGCAAAGACATTCCACTGAAGAAAAGGCCATTGAGTATAAAAC